ATTTATTTTATTTATTTTATTTATTTTATTTATTTTATATAGATAAAAAATTAGTTATACCTAGTTTTAAAAACTAGCCTATTTAGGAAAGCCTAAGAGGTTTTAAAAACTATTTTTAGTTAGTTTTTTTTTATTTTTCTTCCTATTTAACCTGAGCTTTTTACTATATTTAGTAATAATAGACCTATATAGTCTAGTRGTATAGTTTACTATATAATTTAAATAAGCTAGGGGTTCGATCCCCTTTATAGGTTAAAATAACTAATTTATTTATTAGTTTAAACACGTGACTTAGTATTAAATTAAATAAATAATAATAAACTTTATATAACTAGTTAATATTATATCTTAAATTAATACTAGTAATAAATATAATAATAAAATATATATTAGGGGAATCACGTTACTTATAAAATATTTTATTTTTATTTCTAAATTTTATAAAATATTAAGTTTTTTAATATATTTTACTTTATAATATATATTAGGCTTACTAATATATATTTTTATATAATAATTTATATTATTTTATAATAATATGCATTATTATCTAATATAAATTAAAAATAATGATATAAATTTAATATAATGTGACTTTCCGACTATATTCACGCTTGATATGTATCAGCCGGCTGATACGAATGTGGGCGTGCTGATACGGTATCACAAACCCCCCCCAGCGCCTGCATGGAGACCTCGGGATACCTACTCGACAACCGACCCCGAAAACCAGGATATAGGTTTGCTTTCCTCGTGCACAGCGGAGACCTCTCTTCTGTCACTCTAATTCACCAGGCTAAGAGCAAATACAGGATGCTCAGGCCATTGATCGATAACTCGAACTCTCTAGGAGTGGTGTGTCTAGGTGCAAGTGACTGTCTATGCCTTCCTTTTGTGACGAATGTTTCTTCTTCGATTATTCTCCTGGAGCCCTGGAACCTACCGACAACTACCGGTTTGGAAAATCATGGTGAATCATCAAGGAGCCGCGGAATTGGGGACGACAATTCTATTATTACTCATTTCTCGATGTTGCAGCTGCGTATCTCTTTGCTTGCCTCGCGGGAGTTATACGCAGCCGCCGCGTGCAACGTGGTCGACTATGGTCACCTCATGGCTGTCGCCTTTATTCCTTGGGCGCTTAGGCAACCTTTGTGTACGTCCCATTTGGCGTCCAAAGTGCCTTGGGCCCGCAAGGCAACAGGATCCCTGTCCCGAGGTCGGAAACGATGGAGTCCTCGCGAAGAGGAGGAGTACGTAGGTCATGATCAAAGGATAGTGGGCAACTCGTGGTTCTCTGAGGGCATGGCAATTCAGTGGGTTGGAACTGTAACCCCATGAGTCTTTGAGTTGCTTTAGCTTTTCCACGTCTAGGTTGTTGCTAATTACTGTATTACGCAGAATGCAGTTCAGCCATAGGACCCCAGGAAGGCCGGTTCTAGAGTTGAGGAAATGAATCAGACTCAATATTTCTCAAGCGTTGCACCGATGCTATATCCGACCCCCCGGGATGACGACTTAATGATTGATCTCGTTTCCTGAAGTACAGCACTTCTAACCCTCATTTACACGTTCTTCTTAGCCTGCTCCTGCAGTTCATTCAGCACCCTTTCTGTTTCAGCATCCTGGTCTTCAGCCTGAGTGTCGAAGCGAGCGGTAGCTAACTTCGCATGCGTGCCCTGCGGTTGTTTCTTGACCCATTCCCGTAAACCCGTGTTCTTAGCTTGCGAGTTGACTTGCAAAACAATGTTTTGGTATCGTTTGTCGATTAGTTCACCTGCGTCAAGACGCAGCTGGTAGTCTGCGTCATTTTTGTTCGTCTGCGACGGAAGGATGCGGCTGCCGGAGGTGAATGTTGCACCTAGTTTTTTCACAATGTCGTAATTCTTCCTAATCTTTGAGAAAAATTCTTTGATTGGCTTCGACATGGCGCGGGAATGGGAATGATCCTGGATATGTTAGGGCATATGTGTTGAATTCTCGAGAAACGGAGCACACCTCAAAGCAAGTATGCCAGTGGACAGGTATAGGTGCACAGTGCTATATGTGCAACGATATATATTGATAGTATACCGCGATGCTCAGGAAGACGGGTGATTTAAAGAAGGGCTGGTTTGCATTGATAATTCAACTATGAAAGCTCGGGAGAATTGGACTGTTTTTATAGTTTATAGTATTCCCTTATTGAATAACCTTGATTAAATCCCAGCTTGAACTTAGCAGAGCCTGAACGTCCACTGGTCTTTATTAGCGCCAGAGGCTCCAATCAAAAAGGCCTTGAGACAACACTCTGTTTTGTGAGCCGCCAGGATGAATCACACCATACATAATCTGTATCACATGCGAACCTGTCCAATGCCGGCTGTCAAGGTGGGACTGTAGGCGGCAACAGAACGTTTTTGATTGGTGCATGGCTGGCTGGCAGAAAGCACCCACCGCCCCAACAAGGGACCAGGGACATTTTGGAGGTCTCATCTGCTTCAACTTCCAGTAGACAATCTTCATGATGCTCCGACTCTGGCGGCAGTTGAAACCCCCTTTGCCAGCAACTCTACCTCTGCTACTCGGCTGCTCCTCTCAGCGCAACTTTTCCGACATGGGACAGAAACTTGGCACAGTTCCACCGCACCCCTTGCCCGACGGCTTATCCCAGGGAACACATTCCAAAGAGCGCACTCCATGTTAGTAGAACCATTCGCTCTGAAGCGCGATGCTCCAGAGAGACTATATTATTGCTGACCCTTCTCTGAAGGCCATGATCTCCATTCTTATACAGGTGGCCGGTGGCTCAATCGGGACGTGCTCCAACGCAACTCACGACATATTCAGTTCGACTTCACTGCACTCTGTGATAGGGCTATTCACGTATGTCCAGGGGCAACAGAGGTAGTCAAGTATGAAAAGCGAGAGGGTGGGTTTAATAGAGTGTTCATTCTCACAATGGATGATGGTTCTTGTGTTGTGGCAAGGCTGCCAACCAGTATTGCTGGGGCACCAAAGTTAGCAACCAACTCGGAAGTCGCAACAATGACATATTGTAAGCCTGATGCACATATCCTGCGCCTCGGAAGATTCAGCTCTAACGCTCACTGATTGGCTCGTATAGTAAAAGCCAAGTTGTCGCTTCCAATCCCGAAAGTCCTGGACTGGAACGATGATCCCTCTAATCCAATCGGGGCAGAGTATATCATCCAGGAGCATGTAACAGGTGTCCATTTGCACCAGGTGTGGCCTAAAATGAATTCCGAACAACATATGCTCTGCACAAAGACGCTTTCTTTGGCATTAAAGCAGATGGCATCCCTGGACTTTCCGGCCTATGGCAGTCTATACTTCTCAGATGCGCCAATCGACTCGACCCTGAAGATTCCATTCGAACAGGGCTTCTGTATTGGGCCAAATTGCACTCCGGTTTTCTGGAATCGGAATCCGGGGGAGCTGGAACTCTACGGTGGTCCAAGTCCCAACTGCGGTCCCTGTTAGTTCTACATGTTATGCCCTCTCATCCACAACACTACTAACATAGGGTAAATCTAGGGAAAGATCTTACAAGCTATTGTCGAGGCTTGATAGAGACCGGCTTCTCGCGTTTACCGAAGGAACCCGTCACCGACGAGCTTCTCCCTCATCAAGGGTCTGTTCAAGATCACATGCGCCTATTGAAAATCAGCCAGGAAGTGCTGCAGAGGCTGATCGAGGATAAACGCATTCAGGACGCTGCTACCCCAACTCTGCTTCACCCCGATTTCCACATGAGGAATATCTTTGTGTCAGCCGAGGAACCAACTCGCATCACTGGCCTAATTGACTGGCAATCAACCAGCATTGAGCCTGCATTTATATATGCTAACGAGACGCCTGATTTCGCTGCACTTCCCGAGGAACTGGGGGAAGACATATTGGATAGCGGACACATCGAATCAAAGTCCCCCGGCAGCAAGGAACGGGAGCGGAAAGATGCATCGATCTGTTATCAGACATACGATGTGTGCATGAAGGGACTTGCACCCAAGCTACGCCCTGCAAGGCTACTTGACCCGTCTTTGTTTCGGGTCTTCCAATATTGTCACACAACATGGAGGGATAGTGCCTCCGCACTGCACCAAGAGTTAATTGAGCTTTCAGCTCGCTGGACAGAACTAGGGCTACAGGGAGCTTGCCCGTTTTCTCCAACTGAAAAGGAGTTGAAAGAGCACGCTCGCGTGTATGAAGATTTCGAGACGAATCAAAGACTTAAATTATGGCTCAAACATTCCCTCCATACGAACTCCGACGGGTGGGTTCCGAATGATAAATGGGACGCTGCGAGAGATGCTCATCGTGCAGCGTATGAGCAATGGATTCAGACGGCCAGAGAATCCGAGTCTCGTGGCGAGAGTCTGACAGTAGCGAAAGCGGACAAACTGTGGCCATTTGATGCTAGATGACGGTAGGACAAGGCGATTGAACCCTACTACTGTAAAGAGAACCAGTACCGAACGAGGAATGCGATCAATAGCCCTGATCACTTGGGAAGATACATAAATGTCAGACAGACTCACCCTTTTGACAAAGAGAGATTACCTTGGCCAAGCCGTCGGGTGGGGATTAGGGCATCCAAGTCTAGAGGCGCGTTTCAGGCGAGCAACTGTATCCTGCGAGAAGTGTTTTGGACGAGCGGGTTAATCCGGTGAGGAGCTGCAGGATTGAAGCTTGATCCTGTGGTTTGTGGGTGGACTGGAGTTCAAGGACTGTCTATTTAGTTCTTTCAGCGTGCGTTTGACGATCCCAGGACATGCCATAATCAATCTAAAGTGGTTTTGCGGTTGCAGAATCCAGACTTTCACTGTAAGCAGGTCTAGTGTCCAGGGCACAAAACAAGACATTAATTATATTTGGTATCTAGGTCGGCAAGGGGCTCCTGCTGTCACGACTTAGCCAGGAATCAAAGGTATACTACTCAACCGAAAGAGACTATGCAAGGTCACTAGCACTTTGTGGGACTTGAACTATAAGGTATACTGGCTAGGGACGACACACCAGGTAGATTCCCTTTCGAGCTCTCGTTCCTCTGACTTTTGATTGGAGTCATTCCGCAAATAGAGACCGGTAAGTCTTTGAGCAGATTATATACTCTTCCGAGGTTGGAGAAGGGATTAGGAGTATGTTGGAAAGACTCCCCGTCATTGGCATTACCAGGACATATTTGCCTACGGTATGGGATAAATATGAGAGAGGGTGTTGGTGAGAATATACATATCCGCATCACCGCATCTGGTGTCAACTAAAAGCCTCTAGGAAAATGACACAAGATTACTCAGGAACATCCCTCGGAGACCTGAATGATCATATAGTAATACCATATTCAATAAGCTGTATGGAATGATAATTTGGGTGAGAATTTCAAGTTGAGTGAGAGACCGGGCGGGTCACGTGACTGCACCTATTTCGCCTTCCCGATTGGCGGGTCACGTGCCTGCTGGTCTCTTTCCCAGACAACATTCTCGATTGAAGTTACCAATCACCGGAATCATTTTTGATATTCGTGCGCAACGCCATTATGGACAAACTCATCCAGGTTAGCTGCTCTTCTTGGTCCTACGGACCTGTCGCTCTTTTTTTAAGAGTTTGTGAATCTGCCGCCCGTTGCAACGTGGCTGCCTGTGGTCGCCTCACCACTGCCGGGTTGACCCCCCTGGGTGTTTAGTTGCTCATTTTATTGGTGCACCTCTCTGGCGTACGGTACGCCCTTCTTGGTTACGAATCATGGACCCCACGATTGAACCTTGTCGGAGAGATCAAGCACCTCACGAGGCTAAGGCTGAAATTGCGACCGCCTCAAAACCACGAAATATCACCCAACCCGTCATCACTGGAAGGTCCATGTCGGAAAAAGTCTGATCAGAATGCTTGATGCGCACGAGTATACAGTGGGCTGGATTTGCGCCATCACTGTCGAGTATGTAGCGGCCAAATCTTTCCTCGAGGAAACATACGCGGTTCCAGAATACGTGTCAGCCAACGACAACAACAACTACACCTTGGGGAAGATCGGACAGCACAATGTAGTGATTGCCGTTTTACCGGACAAGGGATATGGCCTTGTCAATGCAGCCACAGTTACGACAGATTTGCTGCACAGTTTTCCAAACGTGCGCATAGGACTCATGGTCGGCGTCGGTGGCGGTGCGCCAAGTGCGAGCAACGATATCCGTCTGGGAGACGTGGCCGTCAGTTCTAGCGTGTTCCACTTCGAGCCTCGCAAGCTTCTTCAGGACGAGGAGCCTGAATTGTGGGGACCGCTTGATCGACCGCCGATGGTGTTGAGGACTGCGATGAATGGGCTGTAGGCGAGGTATACGCTGGAAGGGCATACAATCGATTCAGACATTGATGAAGTCCTTGAGCGCTATCCGCACATGAGGAGAGTGTTCAAACGGCCAGATTTGGACAGTGATAGGCTGTTTCAGTCAGATATCACGCATGGATCCTACTGTATGGACGACCAGAGTTGTTGCACGGATCCAGCCAAACTGGTCCAACGCCAAGAGCGCGAGGACAGGCCCGATAACCCTTCCATCCACTATGGTGTTATCACATCTTCGAATATGGTCATGAAGGACGCTCTCAAGCGAGACGATCTAGCCAGGACGAGGGGGGTCATTTGTTTCGAAATGGAGGCGGCCGGTTTGATGAGCTTGTTTCCTTGCCTTATCATTCGCGGCATATGCGACTATTCAGACAGCCATAAGAACAAGGCATGGCAGGGGTATGCTGCGATGGCGGCAGCTGCCTATGCAAAGGATTTGCTCAAGCTCGTTCCGTTAACGAGGGTTGAAGCGGAGAGGAGGATGACTGATATCCTGGCGGAAGGTATTATCGCTCTGTTGACTTGTCCCTCAACATCGCTAATCAAGCGGCAGTCCCAGAGAGCATGGCTAGAGCCGAAGCGAATGTTCAGATCATACGGTCAAAGGTGGAGAGCGATGGAGACCGCGAGATCCTGGAATGGCTCAGCCCCGAGGATTATAGTTCACAGCAGAATGACTGTATCAGTACCCGAGAACCTGGAACGGCCCAGTGGGTATTTGACGCGCCGGAATTCAAGCATTGGATGGAAAGCGAGGGACAGGTTCTGTTCTGTCCAGGCATACCCGGGGCCGGAAAGACGATCATCGCCTCGACCGTCATCGACTATCTTCAAAGGAGTTTCAGTGACGATACAGACATAGGTTTGGCATACGTCTACCTGAATTACAAGCGACACGAGGCCCAGCAATTAGATCAGCTGCTCGCCAGTTTGCTAAGGCAATTATCCGAGACCCAGTCCGCTTTACCCGAGAGCGTCAGAGAGCTATACAACAAGCGACCCATGAAGCGACCATCTGCTGACGCTTTGCAAAAGACCATCCTTAATATAGCAACCACGTACTCAAGATCGTTCATCGTAATTGACGCGCTCGACGAGTGCCAAGCAGCGGACCGCTGTCGCGATCAATTTATCAGTGCGATACTCGCCCTCCAATCTCAGGGCCACGTCAGCATTCTTACCACGTCAAGACCAATCCCTGATATCGCGGAACAATTCAGAGACAGTGCAGTGCTGGAAATACGGGCGAGAAGCGAAGATATCCAAATGTACATCGACAGGCGCATAGCAAAGTCCGGAAAGCCCATTCTTCGAACACACTCCAAGGTGATCAAGGATGAGATCTCGAAGGTAGTCGAGGGAATGTAGGACTTTCTTCCCGACTGATGAGATCCAACCGCTGATTATTGCCTAGGTTTCTCCTGGCGCAGCTACACTTCGACACCATAAGCACCAAAAGAACTCTTCGCCAAATAAAAGATACTCTACGCACTCTCCCTAATGGACCCAAGGCGTATGATCAGGCATATGACGAGGCAATGCGAAGAATCTCAAGTTCCGACCCTGTGTCTGCCGAGATAGCCATGAAAGTCCTGCTATGGATAACCTGTGCCAAACGACCACTCACTATAGTGGAGATGCAGCATGCCCTCGCCGTGGTGATCGGCGATCGCATCTTGGATGAAGAGAATGTTCTCGAGGTCGACGACATGGTCTCAACTTGCACGGGGCTTGTGGCGGTTGATGAGGAAAGCAATGTCGTCCGTCTTGTCCACTACACCACCCAGGAGTACCTGTTACGAACGCAGGGAATCTGGTTTCCGAGTGCAGAGGCTGTCATAACAGAGCATTGCCTTGCATATCTCCACTTCGATGACTTTGAGACCGGGCCCTGTGGTACTGACGAGGAACTGGACGCGCGACTCCTCGTGCATCCACTTTATGATTACGCAGCACACAACTGGGGCCATCATGCTTCGCATGCTGACAGAGCTGGGGAAGAGTTGATTCTGGCTCTCCTTGGGAGCCAACCCAAACGGACCGCTGCCAGTCAGGTACTTATGGCTGCTCGGGGTGCGCGAGGTTATAGCCAAAGGATACCTGGCAAGATCAGCGCACTTCATCTCGCCGCATATTTCGGTCTCGCACATATTGCCGCGACGCTGCTTCGGCGAGGGAGCGAACCCGATCCCAAGGATACTTATCGAAGGACACCACTGTCATTGGCAGCGGCGAACGGCCACTCTTTGCTAGTTTCGCTCCTCCTAGCCACTGGCAAAGTTGACGTGAACAGCAGAGACAAGGACGGCAGAACGGCAGTATCCTGGGCAGCGGCTCATGGCCATACTGAGATTGTGCGTCAGCTCATGGGTGAAGTTAACGTTGATATTTCATCCCTCGATGACCATCAAAAGGCGCCATCGGACTGGGAAAACGCCAATGGCCATGATGATATCGTGGAACTCATTACCGCCGGCGCTCAAAACGAACATCTGAAACCGGCCACCATAGAGAGCAAAACGGCCTTGGATCTCCTAATTCGGGCCATCAAAAAAGGAAACGAAGCTGCCGTGCGGATTCTCTTGGCCGACATTGACATCAATGCCCTAGATTCTTTAGGACGAAGCGCGCTCTCATGGGCGTGTCGAAAGGGCATGTTCAACCTTGTCAAAGTAATTCTCGCAAGAGACGACGTAGTCTTGAGCAGGAGAGATGTACATGGACATTCTGAACTTGACTTGGCAGTCGTCAGTGGCCACGAAGATATTGTCAAGTTACTCCTGGAGCGAAACGAGATCAACCTCAATGAAGGTCCGACTACGCCTCTCCATCTAGCTGTGCGCGAAGGGTATCACACAATCGCAACGTCTCTCTTGTACCATGGAGCTAGGCCGGACGCAAAAGATGCCCTCGGTCGGTCGCCGCTATGGTATGCTGCATCGAACGGCGAAGTGGCCATCGTCACGTCGCTATTGGAGGTCACCTCATCTCCCATCAACAGTCCAGACCAAGATGGAGTTACGCCGATAGATTGTGCCGTTACGGGCGGCCATTTGGCTGTGATGACCGTCTTGCAGACTTATTCCTATCAGCATAGTGTGCCCGACTCCGATCGCACTCATGCCGATTATGCTCAGACAATGACTAGAATCCTTGCCAGCGACGCATGCGTGGGAGACATGACTGCTGAAGATTCTCTAAGCCTGCTCCTCGAGGTAGCTGGGAGAGGCCACATCGACTTTGTCAGGTGTCTACTACGAAAGGGCATTGATACGAGTTTGATCAACACTGGCTTCATCAATTCTGGCCCCAAGCTTCTGCTTGCATTCCTGCTAGACGTCCACCGTGGGTATGAGCGATCCGATTGGGAGGGGCGAGATTGTGATCTCCTGTTTCTCTGGGCTATGAAGCATGGTTTTACCGATGTTACCGAACTTTTACTTTCAGAAAGGCTGCCTGTATCTGCTTATATCTCTTGTAACCCGGCTTTGCTGTCCTGGACAGCACAGAATGGTTACCTTTCAGCCGTCAAGCAGCTAGTCACAATGGGCGCAAGCGTCAACGGTGATAAGCGGCCTCCTCCCATGCCAGTCGAAGAGAGAATCAATATGCTCGTCACTCACCACCCTCCAAGCTCGCCAAAGGAAGATGACCTTCGCAAGCGCAGAACCCATTCATGGACAATGGTTGAGCCGCCTATAAGCGGCAGCGAATCTCACCTGGAGAGTGCGTCTGACTCAACCGACCACTTTGAGAGGGGGGATCATAGACCGACTCGAGCAAGATCCTTAAGTCTAAGCTTCGAACAGAGTCTGGAATGGTTGGCGGACTTCAAAAAGGGGACGCCGCTCTTTTGGGCGGCAGCAAACGGCCATAGACGGGTGGTACGTTTCCTCCTGACGAGGAACGCCCGCATGCAATACTGGGACTCTGAAGGACAAACTCCCTTGCTTGCCGCTGTGCAAGGAGGTCACCTTGAGGTTGTGCAGATGATTCTTGACGAGGGCGGCGATGTTGATCATGTCTCGCTTAGTCCCCATGCAAAAGGACTGTCCTTATTGCAATACGCCGCCAAAAGCGGGGACGAGAAGATGGTGGATCTACTGATCCGCAATGACGTTCGAATCGAAACCGAGCACAGCCATGATTTCACAAGGCCCCTGTTCCTAGCCATCAAGGGTAACTATACCGCCGCTGCCCAGCGACTGCTCGACGCAGGCGCCGATATTGAAAGCGGCGCAGCAAACCCTCAAGACACACCTTTAACGTACTCTTGTTCTCGGAAGAACGAGGAGATCGTCCGGCTGCTACTTCGGTATCGGCCGCGAGTATACAAGGAGACTCTAGTGGAAGCCGCCCGATGGGGGAACGCGGCTGTGGTACATGGGCTGCTCGAAAACGTACGGGAAGGAGAGACCGAGACCGAGACCGACGACCAAGATAAGAAGCCGGATCAGCTCGCCCCTGCCATGACGGCCGCCTTGAAGGAGAAGCACACCGACGTCATTGCAGTCCTTCTCCAGCACAGTCGAGACAACGAACAAAGACGCCGCCGAGCATCAACAATGCTGTTCGAAGCAATCAAGTCCAAGCCCACCGACATTGGCAACTACGAAGACATGGCCCATTGGCTCCTCGACAACGGCGCGGACATTGAATTCAAGCAACCCCGCTACGGGATGAGCAACGCCACCCCTCTGCACTGCGCAATCGCCCACAAGAACCCCGGCATGATGCATCTCCTCCTCGACAGGGGCGCCGACATTGAATCCGGGTCTGCAACTGGCGAGCCCACCCCGCTGCTCCTGGCTATACGGTATAGATGGAATGACGGCTTGTCACTCTTGTTGGCTCACGGGGTAGATCTGCATAAGCCGGACATTCATGGTTCGCCGCCACTGAATTACGCTATACGCGAAAGTAGCGCGGATGTCGTGGACACGCTCGTTCGCTTTGGCGCCAGTTTAACGCAGGAGGATGGCGAGGGCAGGACTGCGACGGATGTTGTGGAGGACGTGGGAGTGCAACGCTCAGACAAGATCATGGCCCGTCTTCGTGACATACTTGGCATGCCCGCGCCGAAGCCAAAGTGCCTTTTTGGCGGCATTCAGTCCAATGACATATTGCGCGTCCCACGATCGGAGATAATTGAGCAGGTCCGCAAGGATGTAGGTGGGCTGGAGGAGAACGTGGATGCGGTTTTCCTGGATGAAGATGACATGGATGAAGATGACATGGATGAAGATGACATGGATGAAGATGACATGGATGAAGATGAC